ATTGGGAGAAAATGGCATCTCACTAACTGCCAGTGATGATCATCTAGCTACTTTGCATTAATGGGACAAAATGGTATCTCACATTTCATTGTTCTTATATAGGAAAAATAAAATAAAACAAAATAATATAAAATAATGTATTTCATTGTTTTTATTTAGGTTCATTAACAAAGAATAAAATAAAGTAATTTAAAATTAAAATGTTGCTTGTTGTGTTCGTTGCTGTTGTCGTAGAAGTAGCCGGCAAACCTGACTGGCGGTGCTCTCTCCTTATCCCTGATTCCTGATCCCTGTTCCTCCATTCCCATCCCTTATCCACCATCCTTTTGCGTGTGTCGTTGGTCCTTTCCCTTGGTTCTTGTCCAGGGTGGGTGTCAGGTCTACTGATACTGATGACTAGGAGCGATGGCGATGGCAATGACGATGGCGAAAAAAAAATTTTGGTCATTTTTTCAAAAAATGATAAGGGGTTACATCATTAAAATTCTCAAAATTTGATAAAATTTTCAATTTCTAATTAAGTATGCAGATTTGTTAACCTTATAAAAACTAACATAACACCGCTTTCCGAATGCAAATTAAGGCATTTTTGACAGAGTTATGCCTTTTTTAGTTTTTAATTTGCTATTTTCCTCTATTCAACTACAGACTTTCGTAGTTGAATAGAGGAAAATAGCAAATTAAAAACTAAAAAAGGCATAACTCTGTCAAAAATGCCTTAATTTGCATTCGGAAAGCGGTGTTATGTTAGTTTTTATAAGGTTAACAAATCTGCATACTTAATTAGAAATTGAAAATTTTATCAAATTTTGAGAATTTTAATGATGTAACCCCTTATCATTTTTTGAAAAAATGACCAAAATTTTTTTTTCGCCAAACATGTCTGGAAAGATTCGATGATGTTGATGCTGATCAAGAATATATACGGTTTATAGGGTCGGAAATGACTCCTTCACAGCTTGACAAGCTTCTGACTAAAATTAGAGTATCCTGCAAGGCCATAAAATAGTCCCTCTTATAAATCAATTACTTGTCTAGTGCCCAGGTATTCTTGATGAGTATTGAAAGGCAGCAAAGCATTCTTGCCTTTATTGCCCATATACCGCACTCCGCACTCCACTCAGGCGTAATAAACCCTTTTACCCCCATCGACTGTAAAAAAGCAGGTACATATGTAGCGCAGGTAATAATAAAGCCACGTAAATCGCACGCCATATTGCCCCCCAGTGCATAGACACATGTCAATCACGTGTCCTGGCGGCTTGCAGTTGCCTTTCGTCGTCGTCGTCGGCGTCGTCCTTCTGGCTGAAAAAAGCCATAACTGCATAGCTGAGGTGGGGTTTGGGGTTGGTGTTGCATAAACTGCGGTGGCGGAGTGCTCGCTCGGCGGGTCTCAGGTTGATCTCAAAGCGCATTCTGGTAATGGAAAAGGAACTGCCAGCTCAAAGCAAACATTACTCCCGGCATTTTCGCATTTCCGATCGGGGTTTATATTTCTTTTTTTTTTTGTAGCAGCGGCAGCAGCAGCAGTGCAGTATCAAAGCCGTTTGCCTGATTGATTTTCTCTTCGCATTTTTTTCCTCCTCTAATAATAGCCCCTGCTGGGGGTAGGACTTTTACCCCCTGTATCCAACGCCCACTTCAGATTTTCCGCGGGCACTTGGCAGGCCGCACTTAGCTGCCGTCGCTGTCGTTTTGTTCGATAACATCGTCTAGCAGCGTGTCTGGCAGTCCATGCCGACCAGGACCAGGAGGAGGAGGAGGAGGAGGAGGAGGAGTAGGACTAGGAGGATGGGTTTTCCCCCTTGCACCCACTCATGCATGCATTGTGAACTCCGGTGCTGGCGCCTTTGGCATAATCAGTTGCAAAAATTTGACACGCCGGCAAGCAAAAAGCGCGTTTTGCCCGCCATTTTGCGCTGCGCCATTTTGTTAAAGTGTGTGCACGTCTGTGCGTGTGTGTGTGTATATCCTTTATTTGCATATCTGTTTTTGATTTTTGTCGCCGCTGGCGTCTATTCAATTTAACGTGCCGCTCGGTTGCTCAGAGGCCGCCACCGCCACCGTCGCCCAATGAAATCAATAAATCTGCTCCACCGTTTGAATCCAATTTATCACTTTGCAGGAGCAGGAGCAGGAGCGGGAGCAGGAGCGGCAGCATTTTCCATTTTCCACTCAATCCACTCTTCGCGTGCAGCTTATACCCGGCCTTGTCCTCGCACGATGTGCATACAACTTTATTGTTAGGGCCACGCGGCGTATGAGTGATGTGATGCCTCTACCTGAAGCCGTAGCCGTGGAAAAGCAAAGAAAAACCCAGAAAAAAAGAAACGCGCTGTGTGGAAACATATGCCTTTTCTTCAGTCGATAATGAAATTTAGCCAAATTTAGCGAGCATAAAAGACGAGCGCTCTCTCGCGAGTCCTGCGGCGCTGAGTTGGGAGCCCAAAAATATCTGAATTTCAGCGGGAATAGCGCCGCCTTGGCCGGGCTTTGCATATTTTACGGCACCATGTGCCGAAATGTTTTGTGCGCGCTTAAATTGCGGAAGTGATAAACAGGCGGCTCCGGTCCAGGAAGCATTTTAATATTTCAAGTTTTACTCACCATCCCCCAGCCACCCTTAGGAAAGACAAGACGACACGCTTTTTGGTTTATTTTTTTTACATTAAATATATTTAGATGGTTTTTCCTTCAAAATTGTTTTCTTGGTTTCCATTCGCACAAGGACCCCAACGAGGGCAGGGGAGGACTGGCAAAAGTAAAAGTTAAACAAAAATATTGCAGTTGGAATGTGTTCTGGTTGAAGCCAGAGATCCGCCAGATCTCCCTCACCTCGTTGGTGGCCAAAGAGCAGCCTGGATTCTGTTGTGGGCTGGGATTCGCGACATTTGTGTTTCGGTTTTTCGGTTTTCGGTTTCGGTTTCAATTTAGCAAACTGCTTACATCAAGTACATTTATATTTCGGTTATATTATTTGCTGCTGCTTGGCTTCCGTTTCGCTCTGTGTACATTTAAGTTAAAATAAGTAAGTAAGCTACATTTAGTTAATATATTTAAAAATTACGTTACTCGCTGCTTACTTCCATGCGCCGCCTAGCCGTACAAAATAGAATATATGTATATAAGGTATAGTCGAATTTAGAGTGGCACAAACAAAGGACACGTAAAAAACAACCAAACATTTTCTTAGGCAACGAGAGGAACGCAAAATCTTTGGTTAAAACTTGCTCAATTCTTAAGGCTAAACGTTAGAGTTTTACTTTTAATGTATTACAAGCATTTAATGCACTAGACAGAGTGGCTAAATCATTCGAGGGCCCGACTCCTGGAGGCAACTGAAAACGTCCTTTCACAATCTCTCTAGCATAGTAACTTCGTGACAATTAAACGAAATGAGTGTAAGTCGGATGAGTATCAACAGTAGTGATGAAATTAGTGCCCTGCTTAGATAGAAGTTTCGCTTGGATTTCCACACACTCTTATAATCCTGCTGCTTCCTTCGATCGAAGTTCCTTATTGGCTAATCAAAACACTAAATACATTTAGCTTATATCCATTTACTTAAAATAGTTTTGTTTGTATGTGTGTGTGTGTGTGCTTCTCACGTTTCTCTTATTATTTCGCTTTTCTCGAGTGCTTTTCGGGGTCTGCTGACTCTGCTGGTTGGGCTTTTCCCCCCGGATTTTCCTCACTTATCTGCTGATTGTCCACTAAAAACTATGCTTGCGTTCTACTGTCGGCATTTTCCGCTTTCCTTGGGGGTTCTTTTGCATGTAAAATTTGCTCTCTTTTTTTTTACACAATAAATTTGCATTTGGTTTTTGCTTACTTTAATCTCTTTTCGTATATGAATTATTAAACACATTAATTAAACAGTTATTCTTCTTATTTTTTTTACTTTTTTGTTTCGTTTTTTTAAGTTTTTTAAATCATAGTTTTGTGCATAATTAAATACGTAATAAACTGCCAAATAAAGTGTTGAATCGCATGCTAATTCGCAAGGATCTGTTCTGTTTTTGTTTTCTATATAAATGACATTACCCTTTCCCCCAGCTCGCATTTATTACAATACAATTAAACGTACAGTACAGTGTATTCTTTGGGTTTTTCCATATAAATATTTTGTATATATTAGCATAATTTACCTTTATATATTCAGTCTTAAGCTACAAAAATCGTTATGCATATTTCTGTTTCGGTTTTGTTTTCATTATATTTTATGCTCTTGTTTTTTCTATAATTTGAATCTATTCAAATAAGTTATATAAATTCGCAATGTATGTATTTTTATATCTTGTTTTTCTTTTTTTTCTGGTGCGGCGAAAGTAAGAGAAAAGCGCGGAAAAGTGAGTCTCCACTTTCCGCAGGACTGTGCTGGGTTGGGGAAAATTGGGGGGAAAATTCAGGCGACAGGATATAGCAAAGCCAAGTGAGTGTTTCTTCCATCTTAAAACTAAAAAGCGGGCTTAAAATCTAACTGGGCTTATTTGCTTTACCTATTACATTTATCGACTATCGACTAACTGCTATCGTCTATCGTCATCTATCGTTGCAATTTTCAGCGATTCGGTTTGCGTTTTGCATTTATCTTACAGGCATGCCTCGTTCAGTGGTTTCTCCTTTTGGCCAGCTCTGTCTCTCTCTCTGCTCTTAAGACGTTTAGCGCTTTCCAAGCTTCACTGTAGTTTCTTGCTCAAGTAAACCAAGGGAGTCTCTATGGCTAAACCGTTTTTTAAACTAATGCTATGTAGTAGAGTGTAGTGGTAGTACGACGAGTATCTCTCTTTTAAATGAAACGCCAGTTTGTTCGGAGGTTCTCTTTTTATCTTTGGGTGAGTTCGGGGGTTCGGGGATCCTGTTTGCTCTATCTTGAATCTTGAATCTTGAATCTTGAATCTTGAATCTTGAATCTTGAATCTTGAATCTTGAATCTTGAATCTTGAATCTTGAATCTTGAATCTTGAATCTTGAATCTTGAATCTTGAATCTTGAATCTTGAATCTTGAATCTTGAATCTTGAATCTTGTATCTTGAATCTTGAATCTTGAATCTTGTTTCTTGTATCTTGTATCTGCTGCCAAAGTTGTTGCTTAAGTTGGTGAAAAGTCGAGTCTATCATTACGGCTATCAGCTAGGTGTTTACATTAGAGTAAGTTTATCGAATTTCGCTTTTTACCCCCATTACTTTTTTTTTTTACATATTTACAGGACTTTGCTGGCAGCCGTTGTCGGTCTCGGTTTCTTTTGTTTTTCAGTGTCCGTTTCGCGTATCCTTTTGAAGCTCGTTTCTCCAAGACAGTATGTACATACAATGTAGAACCAAACTGAGAGGAGGAGCAGCAGCCTGCTCCCGGATTCAACCTCGGCTGATGGCCAGGAAGGCCAGAACAAGACCTGCCAGGATACCCATGCCCGACTCTCGACGAGCTCCTCCTGCCGGCGCATCCTGGCCCACATTGCTGCGCACATCCATGAGATCGCGGGACAGGGGCAGCTCGGTGGGATCGCTCAGTTCGTCGTGGCAGGGCAGCATCTCCGGCTTCAGCAGGAACAGGCGCACACTCAGCGAGTTCTTGTTGGGCAGCGCATCGAGGGCATCCCCTGGCGCCGAGTGCGGTGTCAGCAGGACGTCCACGTCGTTGTGTCCCGCCACCGGTGAGGCGCCGCCATAGAAGGAGCCCTGCTTGTGCAGGTTCAGGTTGTCGTCCAGGTCCAGGCCATGGCCCAAAGACATGCCGCCGTTGTTATCATCGTAGTAGTCATACCGCTTGTGTGTGGGCGCCACCGCGGCCAGATCCTTTTGCTTCAGCTCGGCGCCTCCCTCCTGGCGCTTCCTTCGTCGCCGCATCTTGGTCTCCACCACATTTTCGGAGAATTGTCGCTGCCGCAGCGCCTGCCGTGACCTGCTGCCCGAGTGCTTCCTGCTGTCATCCAGACCCAAGCCCAGTCCTCCGTAGCTGTGGCTGCTGCTGCTGCCCACGACGCTGTTGCCCACGCCGCCCATGCTGGCACTATTGCTGCCAATCGCCGTGAAGCCACCAACGTTGAGCTCGTCTAGGATACGCGACGGCACCGGGTCCACGAAATGCGCCAGCTTGGGGTCCTGCAGGGAGCAGAGCAGCTCCTCCAGCGAGTCACGCAGCTGCAGGTGACGTGTGCGATTTTTCAATTCGAAGATCCACTGCAGACGACAGTCGCAAATGAATTTGTTGTCTGCGGAAGACAGGTGGCAGAAAAGAGAGAAATTGGGGGTTAAATCTTTATATATATACGTGTCCAGACTTTTCCTGAAATTGTTTTTGTCAAATCGTCGCCCCAAACTCCGTGCGATTGTCCGCCGTCCGATTGTCAGAATGTCTGGGCAGGTAAGCGAGTGATTTCCCCCCAACTGCTAAGTGGCCGACTGCAACAATTGGCTGTCATTTGATGGCCGATTGCCACTCCAACTTCAGGTGCACAGCAAGAAAAGTTGGCAGTCTTTTTGAGTGAAGAAAGTATATGAAATATAAGAAGTTAAAACAAAAGAGGAAGCTAGCTTAGGGACTCCGAAGTTAGTATAACCTTGCAGTTTTCTTTGATTTATATCTTTTTTTTTCTTTATTATTTATTATATTAGCAACTCCTATTTTGACATTATTTCTTTTATATTTCAAGTTAGTTTTCTCCAGTGTACAACTCTAAATTCCGGCTTCAGCTTGGCTGAATCCTGCCAGCCGCTTTAAATGATTTTGCCCACACGTTCCGGCTTCGGAATCGAAGTTGCAGCTGAAGCAGGAACCGAGACAGGAGCTGGAGTCGAAGCAGGACGTCGATGTCGTTGTCATTGGGGCTGCTCACGTTAAACGCCTCAATGACATTTCCAATTTGGACAGCAGCAGCAGCAGCCTCCTCTCATTCGGGAGCGATTGCAGTCCGGGGTCTGCTGTGACCACTCCCGTCGGCTGGCCTGCGTCTGTCAGTTAGTTGGACAGCTGCTGCTACTCATCCTTATCCGGCTCCGGCTCCAGCTCCTCATCCCTCCTGCTGCTGTTGTCAATTATTTTGTAGTCCGTCTGGCCATGCGTGGCCTAAGCCCTCAGACTCGCACTCCAACCCAAAAACCCTTTCAATTTGCTGTTTGGCTAGAGGACTCGGCCCAAATTGAGCGGATAAACAAGTGCCAGAGTGGATCTAATCGCTGGCAATGGTCTAATGAATAAATCAAATTACATTGCCAGTGGATTTTCCAAAGGAAACCCCCCCAGAGGACGAGGAGCTCTACCCTCGTGGGTATAATTAGGCCCTGGTAGACACAGTGTGACACAGTTTGCCCTGTCAACATCGTCGCATAATTAGCATAAGCGTTACGAAAAATATTGACTAACACACACACTGACACACTGGCACGGCGCAGCCAACATCATTATCAGGAAAAAAGAGGGGTGCTTGCTCGATTTTCCTGGAACTTCCCTTAAATGACAATAATAATCCCAGGCATATTTTCATGGGCCGAAAAACTTGGCCAGACAACGACGACAAAAGGCAACTTTGCTTAGCAAAATATAGTTGGCAAATTAGTGCTGGAAAAGCAAGTCAAAAATTCTCATTTTCCATATGAAAGCATGCAAAAACCATAAATAAAGTTAAATATGCACAAGAGGGGGGAAAAGAAGGCATGGGAAGGGAAGGAAAGAAGGAAGGAACTAGAAGCAAGGAGTTGCCTCAGTCCACCGGAAAAATGCTGGAAAAATGGCCAACGACTTGGCAACATTTAGCAAGCAAATTACAACAAAATTAACATGATAATGAAGTGACCCAGAGGAGGAGCAGGAGGAAGCAGGAGGAAGCAGGAGGAAGGAGATCCTGCTGCTGAAAACTGGCAGCTGTTTGCAACTGACCAAATGACAATGACTTGCCCCCAGACAACGTTCCTCCCTAAAAGTGCTTAAAAAAATAGAAATTACAAAAAAAAAATATATATATAGAGAAGCTATAGAGATGGGGACAGAGCAGACTCTAGTGGCATGAAATACTTTTATATTTTTAATGATACTTGGCCAAAGCGGTAGGAAGTGTTTTGGTCTGCTGCACACACTCCACCCCCCCATCTGGCAAGCAATGAACTCCCTCAACCCGAGGATCTATATGTGCTCTATATACACATGCATACCAGATATATAGACAGAGAACTGCGGCTGTTAGTCAACTAGATGACTTTCAACTCTGCCAGCGCCTCGTCCTTCGAGTTTAGTGTCCTGAAACCCCATTCTCAGCTCCAACATGACGCTGTAGCTTTTTCTAGGGTAAGAGAGTGGGGGTGGAAAGCTGTCGGAAACGTTTTTACGGTTTGCAAAAGGACATTTACATACACACACACACAGAGAGGGTTTCTAATAGGAGCCCAGCCCTTGGCACATGCACATGCGTCTCAGTGTGTACATTAAATTTTATTATTGTCATTTTCATGGCGAGGTCCTTGCGCCCCCTGCTCCCTTCATAACTTTTCGGTCAGCTCTATTTGCATAAGCTCATGTGTGTGCGAGTGTGTATGTGTGTGCCTTTGTGTCCTGCCAGCCAAATTAGACTCAACTGGAACTTTGTTTGGTCAGTTTTAATGGCAGTGTGTCTGTGTCGGCATTCCTTATGTGTCGAAACATATTCATAATTAGTTGTCGGCCGTCGTTCCCACGTCCCCACAATGTTTACTTCCAGTCAACTCTTTTGATTGGCTTTGTTTGCCCAAGATGTTTGTCCTTTGCACAGGACCTTGGGCGTCATTCAGCTTGGTATTTGCTTGGCAGGGCAAAAAATTAGGTATCTTAGGTGATGATTATAAGGGAAGTAGGCCAAATAAATGGTTAAATAATATTTATCTTGAGAAAATGCTTATTTATTTTGAGTTTATGGTTTATAAAATAGAAATTAATTAAATTTATAATTGAAATTTATTCAAGAACCACTTGAAATATTTAATTAAAATATTTTTATATATTTTATCTAAGGAAGATCTTGAGAAATTGCTTTTTTTTCAAGAGTTTCTTACTTATAACACAGCAATTAATTAATTATAAATCTAAATTAATTAAAAAACATCTTGAATTATTCACTCTTATATTTTTGGCTAGTAAAATATTTAGCTAAAATATTTTTTTATCTTTTAGGTAGCTCCCAAAACCCACCCAATCCCTCATAATGAGCCCTGTCATACATCAACTGGCCGCCTTTGTGGACCCTCTAAATGGGGTTTCATTAGCCGCTGCCTCCCTCTGTTTCTCTTAAAAGAAAAACATTTATTTTAAATTTAATACACTACAGCACACACACACACACACTTGTACCTCTTCATCCCCTTTTAGACTTTTACCTGACCCAGGTGCTGAGCGGGCATGGATGCTTCCGTAGCTACCTCAAGAGGTTTGGCCATGACGCGGAGGAAAGCTGCCCGGAATGTGGATCCGGGATAACAGAGGATGCAGCCCACGTCATCTTCGACTGCCGCCGGTTCGACGAGGAGAGGGACGAGCTGGAGGCGATAGCAGGTGCAGCCATCAGCGCGGATACGCTGGTGCCGCTGATGCTGGCGGACCCGAGGACATGGGAGGCGGCGGCAGAGTTCGCTGCCAAGCTGATGAGATCTCTCAGGGCCCTGGAGAGATCGAGGAAGGAGCAGACTGGCTGAGCGGCTTACCGATGTGCGAAGCATTGCTTTGCGGCCGTACCGCACACTCGCGGGCCCCTTGCCCTGTCTTACTCATCTTTTGTTTTTGTTACTCGTGAGCGAATTGTAATTGTTGTGTAATAAATGAATACAAAAAAAAAAAAAAACCTCTTCATCCCCTAAAAGTTTGAAAAGGAGCTTCCCTCAGCAAAAATTCGCTTTAATTGGTTGGTTTTAGGTGCTGCCTGCCACATTAACCCATGCTGGCCCTCAGTCTCTCTCCTCCCCTTTTGGCACATGTATTGAAAAGCGCAAAGAAATCGCTGCTGGTTTTTGTTTTTTTCTGGTAGGTAGGTAGAGGGAAATATCAACACAAACGGCCAAAAGTTTCCGCACGCCCCCTAAAATCAGCACAGCTGCTGGCCTAGTTCCCGGCCTTTGTTTCACTCCGGACTTCCCATAAAAACCCCGTACTTCCTCCCGAGCAACGATCTCGGAGCTCCGGAGGTTTGGGGTCACCAGGAGCCCATGAAAGCTGCCGCGCAGCTTTGTTTGAAATCAGCTCATTTTTGGCGGCCTGGCCAACTGGCCAACACAGGGAGCTGGTAACTACAGCACTTGGAGAAAATGTATAGAAAAAACTAAATTAAATAATTGAATATTAAAGAAAATATATAAAAGGCCTTGCTGAATATTATTATATTTAGAAATCCTGAATTCTTAGTTTTAAATATTTAATTTCAATTTCCATTTCGTTTTTTTCCGTGTTCTTTTGGCCGTTTTGGTGGCTTGTTGGTAGCGCATAGCTGGTTACTCTGGGATCTGGGTTCGTTTGCGGTGCTCGGGCTTTGGGCCCGGACTTGGTCCGCCTTTGGCTTTGGTTGCCATCAGGGGACAGCACGCACAGTTGCTAGCTACCAGCTACCAGTTCCAGTTACCAACTTGGGGTCAAGGGTCGTAGGGACTACCGACTGTCCTTGTGTGTTTGTGTGTGTGCCCTCTCTCTGGAGGATTTTATCATTTTTTATTACATTTCTCGAGAGCGCTATGTATGCAAATGAAGTCGAAAGTTTGGCTTTGTATAGTTGCTAGTTGCCTTTGTTGTAGGGAGAGTCAATGATAAGGGAAAGCTGGCCAGGAGAAGGCGTGAATGGTTCCACAGATACATTGGCCTGGAATGCCCTTTACACAGAGCAGGAGATGAATGCAGCTGGCAGGGAAAGTTATTGATTGGCTTCGGAATAAAGGCAAAAGGTAACATAAAAGGTGTTGAGGTAGAAAAATGTATGAAAATTTAAGGCAGGTTAAAGCATTTTTAAAAGAGTTTTAAGGGAGTTAGTTTATATATTTTTAATATAATTTAAGCAAAGAGTTAAAAGTACTTTAGTTTATCAGCAGAAATATGTAAATGTGAAGCTGAATTTTAATCCCAAAAATATTTCTTCAATTAGCAAAGTCCCAGCAAATATTTCTTCTAAATTTCTTTATAGATAAATCTCTAGACTTTATTCATTTTCCAAGAGTCCTTGCCTAGTCGGTGTGAGTTATCCTTCATCTCCCTTATGATTTCCCTCTC